GGCAAGTGTGAACAACCCATAAATAATGTTTTTTAAAAGATTTGTTTTGATTAAAACTTGTATGTTAAAAGTCTTCTGTACGTACCGGAACGATGACCCTGGCTACTAAAAAGCTAATAATTTAGCTTGACACGAAATATTGCGTGAAATATGTTCCTCTATCATTTGCCTTCATATTTAGATACAATACAAATAGTTTTGTATAGGTGTATCAACTTATATTTGAAAACTACCCAGTGGAACTCGACATAACTAATTTGTATGTAAATGAATCTAGTATATCGCATGTATTTATTTGTTAGGCTTGGTAATAACCCAAGCGTACATACTCATATTTAAATAAGTATGTATGTACGTAGATTACGTCTAAAACATGGAATGTTAAATATTTTCAATTCGCATTAAAAATACATACATATAGCTTGCGCCCTTGCAAATGCGCGAATTTAGAGGAAGTGAAAATTGCTCAGAGGCGTTGCGGCTAATTACACCTACAACACAGATACCGATCGAGAATTTCACAAGTACAATACCATTTGAAATTATTGTGATAAGTATTGAATCACAAAACAGTTGGGAATTACTCAGAAGCGAGTTCTTTTTTGTTTTCTTAGTCGCTACATATGTGTATATGTACAACCACATGTACCCATAGATGCCGATTTGAAGATTTAGATCGTCACAAAAGAAACTGCGTCATCAACAATATGCATATGCACTATATATGTACATATGTACATATAAAAGATTTAGGTCCGGTTACTCAATGTCTGTTTAACACTAATCTCTGGTTGAACATCGTATCCAAGTATATAACAGGGAGTCGGTAACGTCTAAGCACTAGTAAATTACGGTAGCAAAGTGCCAACATTTCAAATTATTGCGCCCATTCATGGGGTTGTAATTAGTTGACGCGTTTTTCAGATAGATTTTTAATGATAAGTCACTCATTTTCATTAGGTGTGCGTTTTTTTCTTGCTTTTGTGTTTCGAAAGCATTGTATGGACACGTCATCGGTAGACGCCTTGCCGGCTAATATACTACATATGTACATTTATGAATGTATGTATGTGCATAGATATACCTTACATATTAACAAACAAACGAGTCAAAAGAGAATATAAATTGGCTCGTTGTTGGTTATGACAACTGCGTCTTTTTGGGGAGACAAAAGAGGGTTTGTCTGCCACACGCTAAACACATGCGCTGCAGAGCTTTCTTTTGGCAATGTGTCTCGAGTTGTATTGCGAAATTATACGCACATAGGTATGTAGTATGGAATGAATTCGTAATAGTACTAAATTTAACAAATTCATCAGAAGTGATTGCCCTGAACGTAAATTCATGGAAGAATTTTATTTTGTATGCTGTGTAGATAAGAGCACATATGCATGTATATTTGCATGTTAGTGCATATCGAGCCCTAACTGCCAAAAATACGTAAGCGAGATTTTTTCAAAATTTTCTTTTCGATGCAGAAATGTTTCTGGCGCATCTAGATGCATTTCTGCATCGAAAATAAAATTTTGAATAAATTGTCACTTACGTCTTTTTGACGGTTATGGCTCGAAATGTACAAAATACAATGGCTCAAATAATCGTTCACATAGCGATTTTTTTTTTAACCCTAGGAGCCTACACTATTTGGAAGTTACCTGTTACAACCTTTGAGCTAAAATATATTTAGTACTTGAACAATATTGAAGTTGTGGTATAAACTTATGCATAAAAACTACATTTGTTTAAAACAACAAAATAAAATGGTACTTTTGTGTTCAAATTAAATTAGTCTTTTAGGGTTAAATATTCACAATGTTTTTCAAATAAAAAGTTTTGTGGTTGATTTTTTTTTTGTCATACTATGACCGAACCTTGCAAAACAAGTTTCAAACTGAATTCCAAATTTAAAATAATTCAACAAATTTTATTCAAAATATTGAAGTTTTTAGTCTGAGATTTCGGGCAGGGTTAGTTAGTACCACGGAAAGCCGAAATCGGAGTAAATGAGGAAAAAAAAATCGTAGAACGTCATATTTGACATATTTTTTTTTTTATTAAGTAAGCACGTATTTAAAAAATTTATAGGCAGCATAAACGGTGCGTCTGACTCGTGAGTTGGTTTGGATGTGCTTTAAAAATTAAATATGTGTTATAGGCGACATACACACTGCGTCTGACTCGCGAGTCATTTGTATACGTGTTGACTCCCATTCGACTACACACAGTTGAATCATTCAGAGGCATGCCAGAAGTTATGTCGGTGTAACTAACACTTATTTATTTTCACAAACACATCCAAACCGACTCGCGAGCCAGACGCACTGTGTATGCCGCCTATTACTGATAAATACCTTTCAATCGGGTCCTTGCAACTTCACTTATATTTTTAGTCACCTTGGCGATCACTGTCACTCTCTTACCGAAGTAAGGAACCAAATTAAGGTTTGAATGGCGTTATTCTCTTTTATTTCAAACACTAGCAGTATATTTCTAATATTATCAAAAATCGTAGTAAATTTACTTGGTCTTGCCATCGCTGTAGGGACCTCCCTCTTCCTCTGCTACCACCAGCGGATACCGAGTTGAATACTTTCAGAGCTGGAGCGTCGTTGTCCATTCGAAGGGCATGGTCAAGCCAGCGTAGTCGCTGTTTCTTAATTCGCTGTACTTTGTGCATGTCCTTGTAAAGCTCATACAGCTCAGCACTCCATTGTCTGCGGTACCCGCCGCCGCCAATGCATGAAGGCCCGCAAATCTTCCGCAAAATCTTTCTCTCGAATAATCCAAGAGCCGCCTCATCGGATGTTATCATTGTCAATGCCTCAAACAAACAATTCTGCTGTTATGGAAAACGTGGAATCTATCTATCTTACATATGTAAATCTACATACTAATTTCTCAAAGGTATTTTTGTGTAACCACACGATGGCTCCATTAATAGTTTATCAAATTCAATGATTGAGACCTTTCGTGCGGAAAACAGTCGCGTTGCACAAATTTTTGTTGTTTCTAAAAAAAAAAATATAAAAAAAATCGATATCTTCCACAATAAATAATACATCGAATTTAATGAGTGCAACAACATTGTGAAGTCCAGATTTACCGCTCTGTGTTTGTAGGTAGAAATATGAACTTTTGAATAGGGTTGCCACACGTCTAAAATTTTAGTGAATTAAATATATATTTGATGGAAAATTTTACGACGCTTTTAACGAATGAAAATATAATGTACCACAAAGTTTCTTATGACCGGATGGATAGTCCAATTGAACTGACTTTTCTTTTTGTTTATCTCTGCGCAAAGAAACGTTATAGGCTTGGAAAAATATCAAGAAATATAAGAAATTCTAGAAGAACCTACTTCTCATAAATTTTTTTTTATAGGAAAAGCGCAATCGCGATGCTATGAAAGGCCAGATCATTGAAGAATTGCAAGAACTTCTTCACGGACACGACGGTTATTAAAGATGGCAATGGAAGATATGCCCTCCGATGTCCAAAACATCATAACCAGAGCTGATAAATGTGCGGAAGGAAGTCGCGAACCTAGATTGTTTTTGAAATGTTGAACCAAAATGTTTAAGCAAAAATTTATTTTGGGCGAAACGAAGTTCGCCGAGTCTCATTAATCAAAAAATGTCCGATAAAAATACTCGCAAAATTAGTTATTTTTGAATAACTACGCATTATGAAAATTTCTCGTTTACCATTTTGCAACGTGGCAGGCGGCAAGCTATTATAAACTGGACATGCGCCAATAATTTCACTTGCGCTCCCCACTAGGGCTGATTTGCCATGATTACTAGACAACTAGCAACATGTACATGAACATGTCTGTATATCGCGCACCGTTTTCAAAAGAGTCACAACTCAAAATAATACGTTCGTCAGAAAATGCGAAAAACTATTTTGTAGCACATGCTAATGATATGGGCAAGAGCGACTTTACCTTAGGTTTTTTTTAACAAATTATATTTTTTCCAGCTTTTGCTGAAAGCAAAATAAAAGCTCTGTGCACATTTTTAGCGCATAATTTCAAAAATTCAAAATTTTGAGTTGTGACTCTTTTGAAGACGGTGTGCGATATGTAACTATATGCACATGCACCCATTGCATTTCTGTATCTCATTTTCCTTCTGAAAGTTTGCCGTTTGCGTGTCAATTACGAAATTACCAACGGAAACTTTTTAATTAAGCATTCAAACGGCTATCAGCTGCCATCATAGCCGGTGGCTATAGCAACCTGTTGCTCGCTACCATTACGCCGTGGGTGTGCATTAGATGTGTATTTATTTTCTATTTGCTTACCTCATTATATACATAGGTATCCTGCGGGGAAATCTGGAAATGCTTTCACCGTAGGTATTGACTATAAACACATGCATTTGATACGGTTCTATTCATGAAATCACGTGTTGAATTTCACACTGACCACCACATACGGTGTCGATTGTTCTTATGTCGGCTAGGAAATATATATCTTTACACTCAGTTAGTCTAGACTCTAGACTTAGTTTACGTAACTTAACCTAATATATTGGCCAGCGCAATATATTTTTGCTTAGGAATTTTTTGATGTGGCTTATAGGCGGCAATGTGACCACTAGCTGAAAAGGAAAATACAAAAAAAAATGTTTTCGCTTCTGGTTCAATTGACGTGTTGAGTACTCATTGACGATTTCTTACGTAAGCTTAGTCTAGACTAACTGAACCTTAAGAAAAAAGTAACATGATTTTACCAAACAAAATCTTTTTGGTTTTTCCATGCTAGCGATTTAAAAGTTTTGAACAGAAAAAGTATATTTTGAACAAACTTAAACATAAATTGCACTGACCACCGATTTTTCGTGGTTTATCAGCAGGCTCAGAGCTGAATTCTTCACTATTACTTTACTGGATCTACTCAACACGTAGGTCCTATAAGAAGGAACCATAGTTTGTATTAAATTTCCAAATGAACGAAAATCCTCATAAGTCGCTACATGAGAGAAGTACTCCAGACGCAAAACTAAAGAAAGAGAAGTGCGAATATATGGATAATATGGCATGAAATCGTTTGAATATATGAATGCACATAGTAGATATGTTTGAGCGAAGAAATAAAAATAAATTAAAAAAAAAAGTGATGATACTTCCATTAAAAATTTTCACTTCAAAGTACATTCTTTGGGTGCTACAACGTGGCCATTCTATTGAAATCCACATCCTGCATTGTCTGGCTGGGAAAATAACTGTATAAAAGTGGCCAGTAGCCAACAAAGCGCTACTGCAGGTACATTGACTTTAACGATAAACTAATACTTAAATGGTGTGCCAGCGCTTTTATGGGTTGTTCTTAAGCGTTAAAACAAAGAAGGAAAAAATATCAACAAAAAACGTAACACGCTTTCATCGCTATCGTTCGTATCGCTTAATGACTGTTTGAACAACTATTTACTCTCTTATAGAACAGAAATATTGACACACGAACATATGTACATATGTATGTACATACATTAGACATATGACTTTTTAACCTTTTTTTAATTAACAGGGCGATTCTGGCAGCTGTCTTTCAACTCACCACAGTCGTTCGAAAGAAAAAAGTCTTTCGTAAGACAATTGTATATTTTGGCAACTATCTTAAAAACTCGTTACTGTCCTTCGAACGACTTATTGAAAGATCTTAGCGTTATGCTTTTCGCCTTTTAGAAATAAGTTTAAAAATGTTCAATTAAAATAAAAAAACATATATATATATTTTTTTTAACAGTATTGTATATTTTTCGAGCTCAAGGCCACATGAAAATCGAAACAAAATTTTTTGATTTTACATTTGTTTTTATTTGCCGATATTTCGACTTCAGTCTGAAGTCATCCTCAGGAACATTTGACAATGTTTGATCGATGTTTTTTTAACAATAAAAATTAATAAATGAAGGAAGATTAAATTGCAAAAAAAAAATGATCAAAAATAACAAAATAGTGCTTGAAAATTAAATAAGATTAAAATCATTTTTATTTAAAACAAAATACAGCAAAAAAAAATTAAATAAATGTAAATTAAATCAGTATAATATAAAATGTAAAATAAATTAAATGAAATATTTTTTTTTAACAATGAATTCTTAAAATGAAAATAAAATGAAATTAACAAAAGAATAACACTTTAGATTAAAAAAAATGAATAAATCAAATAGAAAAATTATTTTTCTTTTTTACACAATAAAATTAAAAATTAAAAGAAAATTTGAATAAAAAACTAAAAAAATTCTAATTTAAACAGAAAAAAAATTAAAATAAACTAAGTGTTATTTAAAACAAAACACAAAATAATAAAAATTAAAAAAGTAATAGGACCTTAAAAATGAGATGGAATATTGTTTTTTTTTAACAATGAAATCTTAAAATGAAAATAAAATGAAATTAACAAAAGAATAACACATTAAATTTAAAAAAATATCAAATAAATTTCTAAAAAGTAAATGAAATTAAGAAAAAATATTTTTCTTTTTTACACAATAAAATTAAAAATCAAAAGAAAATTTGACTAAAAAACGAAAAAGATACCCACTTAAATAGAAAAAAGTAAAAATAATTTTCCGTAAATCTGAAAAATTAAATTAAAAAAAGAAACGAAATGTAGTTTACAAAAGAAAAAAAAATCCGCTTCGCCAGGACTCGAACTAGGATCTGTCGACTATCACGCCTGTGCTTTAACCACATGGCCACTGCAATTATTGGGGTGGCGCGAGGTACCACGTACAACCAAAGATTTTTTTTCTAAATTTTTATTTATTTGTTTTTTTTCTTTTTGATTGGCTTGACTTGGATTTTTCCATATGTATATTCGCTTTTTTAGTACCACATATGAAAATTCCATAAAAAATTCATATCCTACTTAGTAAATTCGAACTTAGCCATATACAACAATTTAGAAACCTATTCTTAAGCGCACTCTTGCCAAATTTTGAAAAAAAGTTTTTGTCGATTTTTCATTATTCCTCATTCTCTCAAACAATGAAAAGTTCCGTTATTTTCTAGTTAAAAATTGCAATATACTCTTAAAAATATTTCGACTATTATTTTACAATGGTGAAGTTTGGCGCTAAACCGGTTTTGGTTGTTGAAAAATTCAATGAAAACTTGCCGAAAGAGAAAGAATCTTTGCGTTCGTTTTTACCGAAAACTGTTCAACAGTTTCCAGGTGTGTTGCGAACTGATCAGCGAGTTTCAATCTGCATCTATTGTAACTGCTCAATAACAGCAACAAAAATATTTTGCGGGAAGCAATATTTTCACCTGGAGAATTGTCATCTTTTAAATATTGTCCAACAACATCTTGAGACGTAGAGCGTTCATTTTCAATACATATAAGTATATACAACAACTTTTTACGCGATAATCGAAAAAATTTTCGTTGAAAAATATATGTGCATTGTATAGATTTTTGGGGCATATAGCAATCATATTTTTTAATATTTTGGAGTAATTTTAATGATCATATAATTATGTTTTTTGAGCATATTTTCGTCTTCCCTACTAATAACAATAAACTTAGGTTTACTGATAAGTAAGTACTTAATAGGGGAGCAGTGTTGACACTCACTAATTACAGTGGCAATTTGACTACTAAAATTAGTATCAAAGTAAATGTTTATGCGTCTACAAAGCTACTTATAGAATTCGTTTTAAATTTTTCTAAATTTTATTATTGTTTTTTGTTTTTTTACAGCTACATCAGCCAGGTGACTGCGTGAAAGAAATAGCATCGTGAGATAGAGTAAACGCTACATACTGCAAAATGTATCCATTCGTAAGTTGCTTGACCTAGTTACGATTTTTTTTTCTGAATTTGCATTGTGCATTTAAAATGTTTAATACTTATAACTTTTGTACATACATACATATTTACTAACATGAATGTTTGCATCGAATGTTTTGTAATACGCATGGTTAACAACAAAATACAAATTTTCAAAATTTTTCCGAAATATTGAAAAGTTTATTTAAAATTAAAAGTGTACTTAATTCGCTGTACATAACTTTGTAAATATTTTAAATACGAAAACTAAAAATTTGGCGAGCTATCACACACACAAACCCTCACTTTGGTGCAAACATTTGTTTTATCGAAATTAAATGGAAACCGTATATGGAACGGTTGGTTTGAGAATGTGTTTATAATACATTGGTTTTAGTTCGTGTTGAAATGGTGTGGATGGGTAAGTGGCATTAGGTTATCCCCGCCCCACAGTGGGAAATATCGGAAAAAAATTATTATGATTTTTTTCATGTTTTTTAAATATCTTTAATTTCATGATTTTGATGTGGTAATTTAATGTTTTTTATCAGAAATTTTCTAAGTCGAGTGAGAACTCATCAGCTTCACCTAAAAAAAAAATAAAAAAAAATCTGTCTATTCGAAGATAAAAAAATCGAAAATCAGGCAGCCACATAAATTGTTTGAATATATCACCAACCCCAGTCTTAACGGTTATTCTAGCGCCGCGACTAGAATTTTTTCCGATATTTCCTACTGTCCGCCCCTTTGAACTCCTAACGAAATGGTTGGTAGAAGTCATTGTAAAACATTTTATTTTCGATAAAATAGACCGCATGCGATCAACCAATTTTCAAAGACATTCTAAAAGCAAAAAAGTCGTGCTGAAAACTTCTTCTTTTTCTGGAATCATTTATGCACGTGAATTGATCCAAATGTATTTGCAGTGGTGCAGTAAACAATCAAAAATTACAAGAGCACCTCACACGATGAGTCAACTTCATTTATTTTAAGCGTAAAAATCAACAATGAATGAGACTGCCGCAATGACTCACTCACTCACTCACACACACGCTTCGCTTTCATGTGTTTGGCGGGTCAACAAACGGGGTCCACCTTATTTTGCACTCTCCCGCCCGTTACGCACTCACACAATTACACACTTCTGGTTTATGGCTAACATCCTTTGCCACTGTCCTGCAACACCATTTATGATGCTGTTAAAATTCAATGTACATACATATAAATATATTTTCACTTGTTCGTTACTTTTGTGGATTCAACTGTGAAACAATTGCAAAAAAGCAAATTTAATAAAAAAAAACGCAAATTAACAAATGCAAAAAAGCACACCCAAATTCAGCAAAAAAAAAAACAAATCGCTTTCTACCGCAGTCGCTTTGTATTCGAAACAAAAATAATTCATGCATTCTTTGTAGGGTTCCGGCATGCCACAGCCACAATCCAATTCGCCATATCACCAAAATCCCAATCCCGGCGCGCCACTTGGCGTCCCTTTCGGCGCTGGTTGGGTAGCGCCTGCACAACAACACTTCAACAACTCCTCTCCACACCACATGCCACAACAACAAAATAGTTTACACTATCAGCCATTACCCACACATCAACAACAACAACAACCATATCCCCCTCCTACTAACAACACAATGTCACATTCCCATCATCCCCAACACCAAGCACCATATCCATCGATGGCACCGATGGGTTCGCCACACAGCGCACCCTATCCGGGCTCTTCGTACCCACACAATCCGCAACATGCCCAAGCTCCTTATCCATCTGCATCGGGTACGCCCACACATTCGCCCTATCCCGCACACACAGCCCATTACACGCATCCGGCTACGCATCCTTCTTATGCGCCAACACATGGATATACGCCCGTACCGACATCCGGCGGTTATGAATCGCCAGCCGGCAATATAGCGCACTGTTTCCAAGAGTTAGCCCACCGGCAGGGTCATTCTTCGCTGCATCAGCATCAACCGTTTGCCCGAAGAGAGGTTTGTGTTAATGAAAGCTCATGCATGTTTACATATACATACATACATACATACATACATTAGACTGATTCAAAAAAAAAAAAATCTCTTCAACACCTCAGGGGAGTTTTCCGAAGCTGGCTGTTAAAAGCGCAACCCTTAATATTAAGTTTAAAGGCTCGCGCATTGCGGATTTCTATTTTCCTTACGAATTACTTAGAAAAATATTGTTTTCATCTGTGGAATTTTTTCTCTCTTTGAATTATCGTACTGACAAGTGCGATACATATTAAATATTGTAGGAAATAAGACGCTCTACAAAAAACGTGTTATATAATTTTTTGCTAAACCTACCGGTTCAACGGTTATTCAAACTTAAAATTAAATTTATGTCAATATTACAGTTTTTTCTCCTATTTCACCGTGCGACAAAAACAAAAAAATTTCAAAACACACGAAAGAATCGATATAGTCACGAAATTATGGGTCAGATAAGGTAAAACTGCGCTTTCACTTTTTCACTCTGACGTCAGGATTTTTTTTCCAAGAACTATAAAATTTTAAGGATATGATTAATTCAAAAAATCGTTAAAAAAACAGTGCAATGTAGAAGAACAATATGGATACCAAATGAGTGAGAAAATTCTGTAGAATTTAAAACCAATAAAATTTTTTGGTTTAAAACGACATATAGGTATTGAAAATTCACTTTTAATAATTTTTATGTTTATACCCGAGCGCACTTGTGCACAAGGGTATATTAATTTTGTTCA